TTTAACCTATACCCATTTTTTTAAAAAGTTTCAACTTGTACCCACTTTTTAAATAAATTCAACCCCGTTTCTCCTTCTCCTTCTCCTCCTTCGTTTTCTTCTTCTTCTTTCTTCTGCTGCTGTTGGTGTTGCTATGAAACTTCAGTTCATGGGATGATTGTCATAAGTATGTTTATCAGATTATTTAAAAACAAATTATAAATAACTACGTAAGTTAGTAGACAATAATTTGTGAATATTTCCACGTATGGGAAGTTTAAGGTCACACTTAGCCATTTTTTTCATGATAATTCTGTTCTTTTCACGTTTATTTGTTTCCAAAACTTTATATTAGATACTGTTGGCAATCTGATTATTTTATAGTAGTCTGATTATAACAAAACTAATGAATCCAGGACAAAAAAAACTTCAGCTTATTTAGTGCAATTACAAACAAAAACTTCAGCAAATAGAGAACAAAGCTTCAGCTACTATGCTTAAGTTCAGCAATACAAACAAAAACTTCAGCACACTTAGTTCAGCATACTTGCTACTTCAGGCTCGTCTACTAGAATGCTGAAGTTTTGCGTGATTGCCTTTGCTACTTCAGCCCCGTATGCTGAAGTTACGCGAAAAAGTGGGTACGCTTGCAATTTTTTTTACAAAGCGGGCACAAGTTAAAACGTGACCCAAAAAGTGGGTATAGATACAAATCCCCGTAAATTCTTCTTGTTTAATATTTTGCTCATGTGTATCTATATATGGTTTCAGGATGTACATGAGGCAGGGGCTAACTGGCCAAACAAGAGTTACAAGACCTCAAATTCTCAAAATGTCCATTGATTTTCATTTTCTCGATTATTGCTGCATGGACTAACTGATTCAAATTCGCATCGGATAAGTCTACTAGGGATAAGACGCTCCTTATGGGAAGGTTATTCATTCCTTGAACTCCATCTCGAGACTTTGTTTGAAAATAAAGAGATCTTAACCATCTCACCATACTTCTCGGTTAATATAGATATGAGAAAAATAATGTTCATCGAAATTATGTTAAACAGATGGCACGCAACAAGCAGCACAAAACTAAGGGAAGTTGGTAGTTGGTTCTATTGTGGGAGGTCGTAGAGACTAGAAAGTAAAAAGTGTACAAAGTACTCTTCTCTTCTTTCTTTCTCAATAAGTTTGAGATGAAAGGCAAGGAAGAATAGGTGATGGGCTTTGGGGCAGGGCGTAGCATGATTTAGTTCTAAATATAAGATAAGAGGCATCAGATGTTAGTAATTCTCCCCTAGCTCCGCCCCGGGAGGGGCCAGGGTGGATTTTATAAGCAAAATTATGGGACATGTGAACCTATGGTCTTTTAAAAGGTTATAATATTAATTAGTGACATGAAAATTGAATGGTGCACTTGGTTGAGAGTTAAATTATTTATTAAGAGGAATAAGGATCAATTCCCACTTAATATATATATATATATATATAAATAAATAATGTATCCATGTATTAGAAATCCTTGATCCGCCTATGGGGCGGGACAAAACAATGAAAGCAGTGGAGCAGTTGGTCAATTCAGAATGGGACCGCTTTGTTGTATTGGTTGAAAAGGCCAAAACATTATTGTTTTCCTTTCTTCTGTATTAAACTCCCCACTGACCTTAAATTTTGGAACCTTTTTTTTTTTTTTTTTTTTACCATCAGGAGTAAAATTATTTACGAGGCATTGGCTCTAGAAAATTTGTGGGATCATAGTTAAACGAGCCGACGGATTAGAAAGAGTAACATAAATACATTTCTATGAGACAAATATATTTAAACAATTCTTTTTTGGCTAAAAGGAACAAATAAGGATGACTAGAGAGAGTACTATAAATAATGTATTTAATTTGTAGTAAATTCAAATTCATTATTTAAAATATAGTGAATGTAATGATTAACATGTTTATAAATTTATAATCTTGGAATCACGATTGACAATGATATTAACATTCTCTTATTCTTGTATATCACAGACCATTAATGCAAAAGAGCGGGAGATAGAGAGCCCCATGTGTTTTTTCTTCTTCTTTTCCATGTTTAATGTGTGTGTGTGTTTTTCTTTTCTTGCTTTGAGCATTCGGAAGTCATGTTCAACAAATTTAAATTTGCAATGAGTAAGCTCACTAAAGAAGGTATAATTCTCCCGAAAGCTCTCTATTTTTATGGTTCAAATTCGAGATTTCTGATTGAAAAAATAAAAGAAATTTCAATCATGTTATATAAAGTACTCCCTCTGGTCCAAAATAAGTGATTTTTTGGCCTTTTTCTTGTGGTCCAAAATAAGTGATTTTTCCAGATTTCAAGAATGAATTAATTATTTTTTTCCTACATTGTCCTTGAAGTAAATGGTGTTGGAATATGTGTTAGGAGTGTTTATGTGAGATAGTAAAGGTTAATATGATCAATTCCATTGCTAATTAATGTTAAAAGGTGAATTTTTTAATTTGTGTGAAAACATCCAAAAAATCACTTATTTTGAACCGGAGGGAGTAGTTTATATAACATGTGGTTGGGATCAGGAAACCAATAGAAAGGCAAATAAAAAATAAAAAAATAGAAAAGCAAATAGAGAAAGCTGTATACGTTTCGAAAATCTAGTGGTGCTCAACAATAATTGGTCCCCACGTTCGTGGAGTAGCAGTAAGTATTAGGTGTAATCCCATGCGCCTCTATATTAACTACTCATCGGACCCGACGCATGTGATTACTGCCACCATACAAACTTTCACAAATAGTAACAAATTCACAATGATGTAGGAAAGCTACCCAATAATAGATATTTATAGTGGTCCTTGTGGTCCCACAATTTTGTACTTCTAAATTAAAAAGGCAATACCCCAAAACTATACTAGATATTTTTGGAAACTAATTGTAAATTGAAAGGTAAGATTAATTTAAAAATAAAATAGATGGTTGCAGGAAAGGGACTCCTTAAAAAAAAAAAAAGTTACGCACAATTATTGTTTTCACAAAAATCAATAAAAATATTACATGTGCTTCCACATAAACTTTAATCAGTTAAGCATAACTAGGAGTACTTAGTATACATTCTTATTTTATTTTATTACTCCCTCCGGTCCACAATAAGTGACCAATTTGCTTTTTTATTTTGGTCCAAAATAAGTGTCCATTTATATAATCAAGAAAGAATTCAATTTTTTTTTACAAAATTACCCTTATGTATTCCTAAAAAGTTTTCTTACTCCTCACATTAAATATTTAATTAAGGGTAATTTAGTCATACTAGGTATTTTTATATAGAATTTAGTATTTTTTTAATGGGCGTGCCAATAGCAAATTGATCACTTATTGTGGACCGAAGGAAGTACTTAATTATGATAAATGCATATAGCTTGGTTCGAACGTTTGATAAGTTTTATCCAAACTTCCATGGAAAAATGACTACATTTGGTATGGTTATTTAGATAAAACGGGCAATTGTTGCACTGACATAACTTAGCAATTGTTAGGTTAGAACTAAAGACATTTTGTTGATGCAAGTAAGTAAACTTAGAGATCACTTTTTATCCTGAATGTCGCATTCTCCTCCTAATGGCTAAAAAGGATGCATAAAACAAGATACACACATTAGATTATAAATTTATTCGTTTGTCTCAGATTGATTATCTTGATATGAATTTTAATGATTATTAATTTAGATACTGAAAAGTTATTGTATACCTGTTGGATTACATGTAGTATGATGAGGAGTTGGGGCTCGGTTTGACTCAATCTTGTCAAAGGTACAATTAAGCTTAGGTCGAGCTCATCAATTGGACTCGACTTGACTTGGCTCAATTCTACTTGGACTATAACTACACTCTCACTTACTTGAGAGATAGAAAGAGAGAGCATTTTTCTAAACTAAACCCTACCAATGGAATTAGTCACTTAACGTATTTAAAGGTGACTTAAATAAAGTAGCTGATGTTTCTATCAGCTAATTAATTAAGTAAAGCCACTTGAATTGAGGCAAAGAAAACAATACTCCTACTAAACTAGAGTTTGACAAAAAAGAAAGTCCTGTTTAGTGTTTAATTAATTTATAAAGGTGGAGACTTAAAACCTCCCCTTGATAAAATGAGTCAAACCTTAATCCTAATCAGAAGCTCACTGACCTTATCTTGGATTATGAAAGGTGATTGGTTTTGACATTCCACCTGTTGACAGCAACATGAGTCACCGAATGAATTCCCTTTTACTTCAAAAAATTACACAAATGTCACTACCAAATCATAATCAACAAAATTAAGCGTACAATATCTTTCCTAATGACATAAAATTATTATTTTTTCATTCCTCTTAGATAATAGCAAACAAAATTACACATGTCATCTTGTTAATAATCTAGTTATACTACAATTATAATGTAAGTAGATAATTTAAGCAAATTTATGCAGTTATTGCTAATATTGTATTTTTCATATATTAAGAAGAAATATTTGATTTACCACATTAGACCCCACATAAATTATAGAAGCACTAGTTATGCAGTATTTTATACCAAAAAACAAAATTCTATATAAGTAGTAATACGATATTTTATATGAAGATTAAACTCTCTTAATACTTCAAATCAAAACACCCTTACTAATAAGTGGTTTGCCTATATGTATTTGGGGCCCGTTCTCAAACATAAATTTCTGTTTAGGTGAGCTTCCACGAATCATCATGAGGAGCCAAACCATATTACCTCATTTCATGTCTTACAAATAAATTTATTTTTTTGTAATTTTAATACACTTTTTTCCTAATTTTAAAAGTTAATCTCTTTTCCTAATTTTGAAAAGAAAAAAAAAAAAAAAGAGGTAGCAGAAGTGTGTACTAAAATAAGAAAAACTTTTTCATAAGTTGCAGTATCCACAAGCACCATCTCCATCCAATCACAACCCACCACCTATAGTCTTCTCTCAATTCTCTCTCCAAATTCCAATTATTTTTTTATTTTTTTGGGGAACGTAAATTTAAATTAATTCCTCAAAGCTTATTATACTAGATTGTTTACTTGTTGCTCTTGTTCTTACCATCTTTTTATCTTGCTCTCTCTCTCTTTCTCTTTTCTTTGTTGTTGAGTCATAAAGGGAAAAGGAAGAAAGCAGACACAAATTTTCTCTGCTTCTCTCCCTTTTTCTCCCCTCACACAAAGCCCCTTATAATTCTCAAATTCAGAGTCTTTGTACTATTTACTCATTTGGGTGTCAACAATTTTCAGCTTTTTACAGTGTCACCTTGTTTCTTCAGCTAGTGAGCTTTAATTATAGAAAGTTCTCTCCTTTTTCTTTTTCAAAATTGTTCTGTGGGTTCAGATCTTAATGAGAATATTTTGTAAGATTTTAACTTGGTGTGAGATAATCTTTGTCTGTTATAGTTAATCCCTTTTTTTTAAGATTATCATAGAGCTTAGGATTTTTTTTTCTTTTGACATTGAAAAAGTTAGAGTCTTTTCAAGATTCCTCAGGTTGGGGAGGTGGCTATGGTTAAAAAAAGGTATTCTGATTCCTTATAGATGCTGACTTGTTGATTTAACACTGATATTGCCATTGTAAAATCTCAGCCTCTCTACATTTCCTCTCTGAGTCCTTTGCTTCCTCAAATTCAAAACCTTTTTTTAAAAAAAATGCATTCTTGAACCATCTTTTGTAACTTTGCCCTCTGTAATTTGACTTTTTTTTGAGGTGGGGGTTATGGAGATTTTATCACCAGCTCCTTATCTTTCAAATTCAAGCTGGTTTCTTGATGAGGAAAAGAGCACAAAATGGACTCCAGCTGAGAATAAGGCATTTGAGAATGCTCTTGCTTTGTTTGATAAAGATACACCAGATAGATGGCAAAGGGTAGCAGAAATGGTTCCAGGGAAAACAGTTATTGATGTAATTAGGCAATATAAGGAATTAGAAGATGATGTGAGCAGGATAGAAGCTGGATTAATTACTATTCCTGGTTATACTACTACTACTACTTCTTCTTCTTCTTCACCTTTTACATTAGAATGGGGGAATAGTCATAATAGCTTTGATGGATACAAGCAGTCTTATGTTGTTGGAGGCAAAAGATCTTTGTCCAATAGACCTCCAGAACAAGAGAGGAAGAAGGGTATTCCATGGACAGAGGAAGAACATAAGTGAGTTTTTTTCTTCATTATTGTTTATTTCTGTTGTGTGTGTACTTTCTTTCACTGTGTTTTTTTTTTAAAATTGCATGTTTGGCTTCTTTCTATATGGACCACCCTATAATTTTTCTTGTATAGTTGTATCCCTATAATATCACACAGTTCATTTAACAACTTGGCAAAACATGTCAGGTAGTGGAATATTGAACCACCACCTAAATAATTATATGTGACAAGTTGACAATAATTCAGAGGCGGACCTAGAGTGTAGTGTTAGGAGTTCGATTCAGTTGAACTCATCATTTTTAGCGTAGATTATAAATATATACTAAAAGTGAAAACCCCTGAAAAGTAGCATAAATATTAATTTTGAATCCATGAGCTCAGAATCTTGAACCTATTAAGTTTTCTGGTTGTTCTTCAGTCTTGGGTGCTGAGAAAGCTGACATGTACGTTAGACTTGGTTTATCTGTTAAGTTTCTAAGATTCTTTAAGCATTGATGTTTATATGATCCAATTTCATTATTGACAATGGGATTTGCTTGATTCTTGTTCAGGTTGTTTCTAATGGGGCTTAAAAAGTATGGAAAAGGTGATTGGAGGAATATCTCGCGAAATTTCGTTATTACTAGAACCCCAACTCAAGTGGCAAGTCATGCTCAGAAATACTTTATCAGACAACTTTCTGGTGGCAAAGATAAAAGACGCGCCAGCATTCATGACATTACAACAATAAATCTCAATGATAATCAAACGCCTTCACCGGATCACCAAAAACCAACTTCAATCGATCAATCCACTGTGATTTCCCAGCAACCAAAATCGGCTGACAATGCCATGCACAAAATGCCATTTCAGTGGAGTCAGGTGAATAATGGCTTTAATTATGCAGAAGGAAGTTTGTTCGTGTCTCCTCCTTATGGAGGTAACTCCTATGGGGACACTAAAATGCAAAGCCAAAGTCTGCAGCAAAGAGGTGCTATGCGTGAGCCTTACTTTGGATCTCAAAGTATGAATTTTCAGCTTCAATCGGCACAGCCTTACTATCATGCATGACATAGGCGTATCCAATATATTAGAACTTTGATCAGTGCGTCAAAATATGCTTATTTTCAATTCAGTATCTAGCTTCTGTTACTGCTTCCGTCGGTCTACATCTCTCTTGTATTGTGAATATATGTTGCTTGGCACTTTGAGTTAGCCATGAGTTAGTGTGTCCTTTTAGGAAGTCCAAGATCCTTACTCTCTGTAGTCTGTACTTAAAACCATAGTACAGGTGGAGTTCACAGTGGCAAAATGAGCATAGAGGAATGGACACAAAACCTGTAAAATCCTTTTGAGGGCATAATAGAATTACAAGAGATGCAAGGAAAATGGCCTGATTTTATGTACATTTCAGGAAGATCATGGAGTATTACTAGCTATTGTACTCTAAATGAAAATCACAGACAAATAAAGGTCTGTTAGAAATTTTATGGCATTTGAGATTTGACTGTTGATTGTAGTAACACCGGATATTCCTAGTGCACATTTAAGCTTTTGTTTTGAATGTAAATGTTTCCCTGTTGATAGACCTAACAGTCTTAAGGGTGTTTTCGCAAGCATAAGTGTATTGGTGAAAATTAGACTCGTCATGTGGGTTTATTAAATGGCGACACGTGTCAGCAAAGTTTGAAGAAAAGTGAAGAATGACATGTAAAGACGATATGTGAAACACCCCCGGGACCGAACATACCGTGCCTGTTAGCCTCGGAACTGATATCATGAAATAGCCCCGATCAGGTGCGGGAGAATATCTCATAATTACCAATGAGGAAGGAATCAATTAAACCCGGATTATATGGGATTTACCATCATTACACCATCAGTTACAAATCAATTATTAATAAATGCAATAAATGATTGTAACGGTCAGAACAAGGCAATCAATTACAAGATTGACTCAACAGGCACGAGATTGACTCAACAGGCACGGGATTGACTCAACAGGCACGGGATTGACTCAACAGGCACGGGATTGACTCATCAGGCACGGGATTGACTCATCAGTTACGGAATTAACTCATCAGTTATGGAATTAACTCATCAGTTACGAAATTAACTCATCAGTTACGAAATTCTAGCATTTACACAGCTGTTACAAGTCTTCCAAAAGTAATGGATGAATTGAGTAAATGCTCATAATGGACACATAATTCAAGGAGAATGATTACTTAGATTTAGTCCTATAAATAGACATATTTTTACCACCATGAGGGGAATCTAATTTTCTTCTCTACAATTCTACACATTGTAAGTGATAGCATATTGCTCTCAAGTTAGCCATAGTTCGGCTCTTCAAGCTCTGTTCGGCTCATTATCCTATCAAGGATCATTCAATAAGAATTCTTTCTTCTCTGCTTTATTTTTATTATATTATCTGTCATTGAATTTATTTCCCACTTCTTTATCACGTTGTATTAACGAAATTTTATATCTTTTGGATTGAATCGGTTGCTTGTGGCCCGTCATATAAAATTATTGCTTTGACCTTGAAAACTATTTTTTGGGTTAAACAGTTTGGTTCCGTTACCGGGAACTCAAGCAAATTTGCTATTCATCCAAAGATAGTAACAATTTTTGTTAATCGCTTGTTTTCAGTTTAAACCTTCATGATGGCTAAAATTTTTCCAATCAACACAGTTGAGGACAACCAAGTTGGAGATGGCTTTACCATGCAAAATAAAAAGGGAATAATAGCCATGATGATGATATGTAAGCAACAAGCAGAGAAAAATAGAGAATGTATATCAGTACCAGAACTGATTATAACGGATTTGTACGAAACAGTTCCGGAACAGGAGGTTCAGATACACCAGGTAATTTTAATTTGCAAAATTTAGTTCTAACCTTACAGGAACAGATCAAGGAACAGAACGAGCGGATAGAACACCTCCGGGAATTCCTATCTAT